TTGACCATAGATAGATGGGTTGATCTCTGGATTCTCAATTCGATTCCATTGATCTATGTGTCTGTCATTGTACCAGTACCATGCTGTCTTTACTACTACGGCAGTGTAGTAAGGCCTTAAATCTTGGTGAGAGGAGACTGTCCCTCTTTCTCCTGCAGAGCAGCTGGTGGATTCAAGCTACTGTTCTTTCACTGAGGATCCCAGGACATTATGCATTCCATAATCAGGGCTTCTTCAATAGACTGCAGGGTCAGGCAGTTGACCAAGAGGCCTCTGGTGGTACAGTCCGTAGGGTGCTGTGCTGCTAAACCAAAGGCCGTGCCCCTCCAGCAGTTCGAATCCACCAGCAGCTCCACAGAAAAAGTAGACAGTTCTCTTCTGTGCAGTTGACCACTTTCTAAACCCAGTGGAGGGTCAGCGGTGACTCAGTTTTGACTTGACAGAAGTGAGTTTTTAATAGAATATGACTTTTATATATACTGAGGTGGGGGGAATTCATGTGAATTGTGGTATTTGCTTTATTTTGGTGGAACTAAACTCAAAATATCTCTGAGGTATACTAGTAGTAAAATATTCAGGATGTAGTGTTTTTGAAATATAGATCCTTCCTATGCATTTGAAAACGAATTGAATGGATTAGGAATTAAAGCCTGTGTGCCTAGGGAGGATTCCGTGTGATTCAGAAGACACAGCACAGCTCAGTTAAGAATCCTCTTCCCATGGGAAGCTGTGTTGAAATTCTAGTTCTCTTCTCTGTTTCAGAATTGTACCTGTTTAGTATGTGTTTAACAATAATGCAAATAATAATAATAATGCACTATTGTTTAATAGTGTAGTTTTCTAAATGAGTCCTACTAAAGTTACTGGTTTACTGTTGAATGTGCACTAGTCATGTGCTTTGCATGTATTGTTGTTGTTAGGTGCCGTCAAGTTGTAGACGACTCATGGCGACTCTATGAACGGAAGACCTGAGCATTGTTCATAGAGTTTAGGAGGCAAACCATTTCGGAAGTGGGTGCCACTCCTGCTTCCAGGCTTGTTTTAATCGGGGAGCTCCACCCCACAGGCTTCTGTAGAACCAGCTCCTGTAGATGGCTTTTCAAACTGGTTCCGGTGCCGTGCAATCCCAGCCCACACGTATCAGCTCATTTAATTCTTGTGAAAGCCTCAGTGGTTGGTGTTTGTACAGCTCCATTTTGAAATTACAGGTGCACTTTACAAAAGAGGAGACTCTATCGCTGTACATTGTTGAAAGAGCGAATATGCAAATAAACACTAAGAAAGTGAAAATAGTAAACTTAGAGATTGCCGCTGCTGACATGGCAATGTGATATTCTTGAGTTCTTATGCATGCATATATGCTTTTTAAAAATTTTTATTCTGATTTATTTACAAAGTTTGAATACATTTTCACGAAAGATCCTTCCCATTTCCTTCACCCCACCCACCCATCAAATTTTGCAACCCTATGATTAACACCCTAGCATATATATTTTTAATCTCTTCTAATACCTAAGCCAAATTCAGATTTTTCTGTTTATCTCTCCAGGTGTCAATTGTATTTGCTCCTCTTTAATTGTTCTTGTTACATGCCTTTAAATCAGAACTGACCCATAGCCAGCCCTCCAGTGGGTTTTCAGCAAAAAGTTCAGGGGAGGAGGGTGCCCGTCTCTCTTCCATAGAGCATCTGATGCCTTTGAGGTGTCAGCACAAGGCCTTACCCGCTAGGCCAGCAGAGCGCCCAAATGGGAGTCACTATGTGACCTCAAATTGCATCTGGTTATGATGTCTTTTAGGTCTCCTTTAATCCAGCATTGTCCCTCCTTTTTCTTTTTCTTTTTTTTTTTCATGATACTATCTTATTGAAGAAACTAGACTACTCCAAAATGTTCTGCTTCCTCACTTGGTCTGATTGCTTCCTCACAGTGCTTTTGAACTTGTTCTTCTGTCCATTACCATTCCCTGAAACTTGCAAGTGAGTCCTCCAGGCGTGGTGGTGTGTGTCTGTCTCATCATTTATTATTGGTACTAGGAGTGGTCGCTGGTTAACGGTGTTGACATTCTGATCTTTCTGTTGTAAAGTAGTGTTATTTTCTGTAAATGTCGAGTCTCCTAAAGGATTTTTACACCAGGTGACAAGTCTTGCTTGGCAGAGCGAGTCCCTTCTTTTTCGGTTGTGTATTGAGCATTTTCTAGTTCTTTTATTCCTGCTAGACTGTTTGCTGGCTTTCTTCTGTGAAGCTGAGCTTTACTCCATCCACGTGGAGCATTTGGCACCTTGAAATACCCCGCCTACTGGAGAAGCAGACTATAGGAAGAACTTTTTGCCTTGGGTTACTAATTTTTATGTGAGCAGTTCTTTAATAACCTCTAGGATACATTTCTTTTTCTCCTTTTTAACATATTGGTAGGGGGAGCTCTAGTGGCAAGAAGCTGCCCTGCAATCCTAGAGGGACACAATTCGAATCCACCAGATGCCTTGCTGGAGAAGGAGGGGCAAATCTCCTCCTGTACCAGTCAGATCTGATTTGACAGTACACTCACACAAAAATAATAAACTAGTAGAATAAAATACTGGTAGAGACTCTTGGACTTTCCTTAACTGACTGTATTTCAGTCACTGTAACCATTATGGTTGATGTTTCCACTGTCACAATGTTGGGTGGCAGAGGACCTTCCCATGATAGTCTTGTCTTTTTTGATACACTTGTTTTCTGGAAGCCTCTATCTAACTTGTATTCTAGGTTTACACTGTGACTTTGTCTGCTCAGGATTTGGAACCTACCATTTCTCGATCTGTGTCTGTCCAGTTGATTAATAGGGTCAAAATCTGGGTGCTAGGGTTGCTCCCAAGGGAACTGTGCTTGTAGGTCATTTTAGTGTGCTCTCTGGCAATGGTGAAGTACTTGGCTGCCAACCATAAGGTCAGGGGTTCAAACTTGCCCCTCTGTGGGAGAAAAATGAGGTTTGCAAATGTGAAGATGTCCAGCCTTGGAAACCTTATGGGGCAGTTCTCTGTTCTAGAAGGTCACTATGAGTCGGTATGTGTTGACTCAACAGGAGAAGGCTTGAATGTTGCTGAGACCTTTCTAAACATTTATGAGAGAGAGCTGGTGGGTAGCTCAGTGGTAGGGAGTTGTGCTGCCAACCCAAAGGCACGTGGTTCAAATCCACCGGCCATTCCACAGGACAAAGTTGGACAGTCTCATTTCATGATTTGCAGCCTCTGAAAACATGCTGGAGAGTCAGTCAGCTCTGAGTCGCTGCTGACTGTGGGGCACATAATATACACAGAGACACGCATACATTTCTGAGTTCATATTGGCTTTTTTCAAATACAATTTTACATCACATTGCTTTTACTTAACTGTTATTTAAAAATGTTTTTTTTTTTCCTTGTACATCGAATTGTTTACAGCAGTCAGGAAATCAAAAAACATATTGCGACGGGAAAGTCTGCTGTTAGGGACCTCTCTAAAGTACTCAAGAACAATGGTGTCTCTCTGGAAACTAAGGTCTGCCTGATACAGGCCATGGTTTTTGCAATCACTTGTTATGCATCAGAGAGTTGGACAATGACTAGGGAGGACAGAAGGAGAATTGACGCCTTTGAGCTGTGGTATTGGAGAAGAGTACTGAATGTACCATGGACTGCCAAGAAAACAAACAGATTCATCCTGGAGAGGGTTAAACCAGGCTGCTCCTTGGAGGCAAGGATTCTGGGGCTTTGCCTGACATACTTTGGACATGTTGTGAGGAGAGACAGATCTTTGGAGAGGGACATCATGCTTGGGAGGGTGGAGGGACAGCGCAGGAGGGGAAGACCCTCTATGAGGGTGGATTGATTCAGTGACTGGGGTAATCGGGATGGGTGTGTCAGGCAGTGAGATTGGCACAGGATAGAGCAGGGTTTAGGGCTGTTGTACAGAGGGTCTCTATGAGTGGCAAATGACTCGACGGCACATAACGACAACAACAACATATATAATGTGAAGAGAATAATTTTAAATTAAGATGATTTTATTTATCTGATAGCTGAAGTTTAGAAAGTGAAAATCACACTGCAGATAAGTGACAGGAGAGGGTTCCGTAAACCCATGTTTCTGACTCTAGTGGCAAAGCTCTTAATAACCGAATAAACTGCTCTTACTGCCTTAGCTGTAAAGTCATTTCCCAGTGTGTTGGATTGAAAAAACTCAGAATGCTTCCTCTGCCTTACAAAAGATTGAGTGAGTGGTAGGAAACAGCCTTATGTTTTATGGCTGTGTCTCTCTGTATAAAAGGAAACTTAGTACTCATTGTGTGAAAAGATTACAGCATCTATCTCCCGGTACTTTATTTTTAGGGAAGTGGTATTTACATTGCAGGATTCATTCCAACCTGGGCGCAGTTTCTTGTTACTGGTTTTCTCTCCTTTCTTCTGTTTCTCAGCATGGACAGGTTTCTAGGAGCAAGCCTGGCTTTGATGCTCTCTCTGCATGATGCCTGTCCTTTATTTTCACAGGTACCTGTTTGCTCTGCAGGTGAAGCAGGACTTGGCTCAAGGCAGACTGACGTGCAATGACACCAGCGCCGCTCTCCTGATCTCACACATCGTGCAATGTGAGTCCTGGGGGCTTCCTTCAAAATCAGACAGGTTGGAAACAGCATAGTGACCTGATTGGGCGGGGGGAAATTCACAGCCACAACAGACTTAAGAATTTACCATGGATGCAGGAGAAGACAGTTCTCCCAACCTTCTTTAATATGCCCATCTCTCAAACATTAACCCATGAATACTGGCATGTGTCTGCGTCATTCCAAGTTTGCTAGCAATTGTTGTTACTCCATTTGTCTCAAAAGAGAAACTTGGATATTTGGATGGATGGATGGATGCAAAATCAACTAAACTTTTTACTTCTTGTCCTTGAATTTAACATCCACCCTTGCATATGGCACATCAGTCCTAAATATAAAGCTTCCACAAGGTTAACACTGTACATTCTGCTCTCCAAGGCTCAGTAAACACAAGAAAATGACAGAATGTTCCTGATGCTGGAAATCTATATTTTCCCTTATCTTGACCTAAACACAGGATAAAGTAGATTGTCCTCATTCCAAGGTTAACTAAGGCATATCAGGTAACTGTTTACCTGAGCCTTTCTCACACTCAGCACCCAGCCACGGGAATAACTTATTTTAAGTGGAAGATACACATTGGGTTTTTTTAAGTAGTAATATATATTATACATTGAAGAAAATGGTGCTACTTGGAAATGAATATCAAAATATTATTATTATCATCCTTCATTATTAAATATGTCTTAGTGTATACAGAAGTGTTTCCCTTTTTTGTGCATAGAAAGGTACAGTGTATGTAGACCAAAAGAAACGTAAGACTAATTAATGTGGCTACAAACTGTACCTAACTGATCTTCTACATAGTAAAATTTTGCATAAAGACAGATTTAAACTGCAATCCCAGAGGTGTGCAGTTTGAATCCAAGTGATGTTCTGCTGGAGAAGGAGGGACAATCTCCTCCTGTACCGGTCAGATCCGATTTGATGGTATACATGCAAAAAAAATAATAAAATTATTATAAAGACAGATTTAAGAGTGAGATGCATTCATACTCTGAGAACTGCTTGTACCTTCGTAAGAGATCTATGACCCTAGACAGTCTGTAAGCAGAAGAGAATACACTTTGGTAAAATTTTCCAATTACTTAGCTTTATGCCTCTTTCTCCCACATTTGTGCACACTGGTAACTCTTACTCTCACATTCAGAACTGGAGATCAGTTGACACCCAGAAAGTTGTGTACTCTGCCTTACACCCTAGTCTTCTTTCAGACACCAACAGAGGCCCCAAGATCCCTGTAGAATGTGGACAATTTTTTTTAAAAAAAGAAAATGAAACACATGGATTCTGAAATGCTTTTGCCACTGTAGTTTTTGACATGAGAGACATGACTTCTTATGATCTTCTTTGTGATATCTTGTGATATTTAATGGGTAAAGCCCCATTTCTGCGCTTTTTTTCCCTCTGCTCTTTATTTATCCTGCACTTTTTAAATGTACTCAGACGTGAAAGAAAGAATTTCACCGAATCTCTTGGGAAGAGCATGCTGATTTAAATTATTAGAAATTATTTATGTTATCAGTAAGGTGTGAGAGATCAGCTCGCTTTTCTTTTGCAGAAGCTTTTCCAATGCTCACTCCTAGTTCTTTCTGTAAACTCTGTGTTCCTCTTACCTGTGTACATCAGAGATCCTTCCCCCCAGACACCTTTTTCATTTAAATGTGAGGAATCTTTCAGATGTTCTATGTTTAATTTGTTTTCCTATCACTGGCCTTTTTCAGTTCCTGCCATACTTCAGACTCTTAATTTTCCCTAATGTATTGTGAATCAACTAAACAGAACTTGTCAATGAAAAGAGAACTCAAACACTAACTAGCTGTGATGTAAAGATACCATGTAGGTGGATAGCTTGGCAGGTTGGCAGGTAGTACCTGTCTGCAGGTGGGTTGTGAGAATTACAATGACAAAAGAGTTTGCCCAAGAACATCTTCATGTGCAGCTCCTTTCTTGAAATCACAGGATTTAAGGTTTTTCTTGTTCCTGTTTTTGTCCTTAATCTACTGCTAAAAAATTTAATCTGATACTGTGACAATCTGGGGCATAATACATTAAAAAAACCGCTAAGTCATGCCTTGAATACACATCAGTTCTCAAACTCTCAAAATAGAATTAGGAACCTATTACTCCATATTTCAAAGGAGAGAACACCTGGGGAGTAAATGAATTTTGTCATCCTGTGTTGCCATTGCATGGTGACAATGAGAAGAAAGTGGCAGAGAAGAAAAGAGAATTGTTAGATAGATTGACCCTACCACAGGAGGAAAAATGGAATTTCTTAACCTCATTTATATAGGATTTCAGAAAAGACTATATTATAAAATCCAAATGAATTATGAACTTCAAACGAAAAGCTCAAGGACATTTAAGATGTAGGTGTTTTCCCATATACTTTGTCAGCACCAGATGGGTAGCCAGTGACAGTGGGCAAGGATGTCTCCCATTTCCGCACCATTTTCCATCATAAAGAACAGTTAACAGAGGAAGAAATTAATTTGGAAGTCAGGATAATTAGTAAGTAGGGTTATTGATCTGTCATAGCAGGAGGAAGTTGGTGAGTGACTCTTCCTACCAGGGCCCACCTGTCACCAGGTGAGTTGTCACTGTTTTGTGAAGAGCACATATGCCCAATGAGTGTGATTTATGGCATCACGGCAGCTTGTAGGCCATGCCCCTGATGGTGGCCGCAGGACTGGCGCCCAGTGAGTGACAGACTGCTTCATGTGACGAAAATCAAAGATGGGTTTCATAGCAACCATCCATTTGCCTTAATCAAAACAGCTGCAACAGCTGGCTGGCAGCTTATTTACACAGAATAGATGATACAGAGGAAGCAATAAACTGTCTGATAACTGAAATTGGTGTAAATTGAGCTACAGTGAGTATCATTAACCCAGGGCCCAAGTACTGGTTTTAAAGCTCTAGCCTCAGATAGCAAGAGTAAACATTCTGCAGCTATGTGTTGCTTTCATGAAGAAGGGAAAACATAACCTTGCTTGCCTGTGAAAAATACATAGACATTTTTCAATTTGATCAAATATTTCTGACAGCAGACTACAAAACTCAAATAGCTCCTTGCTTTTATCGTCCTTGTTAAATTATGCTTACTTTGGGCACGTTGCCAGGAGAGGTTATTCCTGGGAGAGGGACATGATGCTTGGGATGGTGGCAGGGTGGCAAAAGACAGGAAGGTCCTCACCCAGGTGGGTTTATGTGGTGACTGCAGCGGTGGATTTGAGGTATCAGAGATTGTGAGGATGGCGTGGGATAGGACAGTGCTCACAGTTGTTTTCCACTCGAAGCCCCTAGCAACAACACCTTCTGCGTCCATTTCAATCATCCTTCAATGATAAAGCTTTTGGATTTTTCATCCCAGCTGTTACAGATGAGCTTTTTTAAAAAGTTGGTTTTGTATAGTCCTAAAACTATGTCTTATTTAAAGGTTAAAAAGTGCCAATGAATATGTACTTATTATTGAGAATGAAAGCGACCCTGAGTTGAATGAGAGGGACCTAAACAGCTAAAGAGGAATGATTCCAGAATTTTCTATACAGAAATAAGATACTATCACCTCCATGGCCATGACTGTTAAATACATCTTCACACACACTCAAACATCTAGCACTTATACTTCCCAGCAAGATCTCGTCAAGCCGTAAGCTGGTTCCTAGTTAACTAGCTGGTTAATATTTCCATGGGGCGAGGGGAGGGAAGGGAGCTGTATAACAAATTGTGAAATGCTAACCAAATGTGGCTCATTTTGTTGTATTTTGTTTGTTTACTTTTGTCTTTCTTAGCCGAAATTGGAGATTTTGATGAAGCTTTGGACAGAGAGCACTTAGCAAAAAATAAGTACATACCTCAGCAAGATGCGTTAGAAGACAAAATCGTGGAGTTTCACCATAACCACATGTAAGGCTCGTTTATTGCTTCATAGTCTCTAAGTACTATTTCTGTCTGCCCTGCTAGCGTATGTAGGCATGAGCGTGCAGGTGCACACACTCACAGTGGTCAGCCCTCCTTGTGTATGTAGGAATGAGCGTGCGCGTGCACGCACTCACAGTGGTCAGCCCTCACCATACGTAGGCATGAGCGTGCATGTGCACACACTCACAGTGGTCTGCCCTCCTAGCGTACATAGGCATGAGCGCACTCTTGCATGCACTCTTATAGTGGTCAGCCCTCACGTACGTAGGCATGAGCGCACGCTTGCATGCACTCACAGTGGTCAGCCCGTACGTAGGCATGAACGTGTGCGTGCACACACTCTCACAGTGGTCAGCCCGTACGTAGGCATGAACGTGTGCGTGCACACACTCTCACAGTGGTCAGCCCGTACGTAGGCATGAACGTGTGCGTGCACACACTCTCACAGTGGTCAGCCCGTACGTAGGCATGAACGTGTGCGTGCACACACTCTCACAGTGGTCAGCCCGTACGTAGGCATGAACGTGTGCGTGTGCACACTCTCACAGTGGTCAGCCCTCAGTACGTAGGTGTGAGCGTGCGTGTGCACACACTCACAGTGGTCAGCCCTCCTAACGTACGTAGGTGTGAATGTGCACGTGCAGCACACTCAGAGTGACTCCAGTTATGTGCCACAGTGTCCGTCTGAACAAGATCCAGCTGCGCCCCACCACACCAGTGGTCCCATAAAGTTCTACTAAAGTCCAGAAGTCCCAGTTAGAGAATGGCGTGTAGCAAGTACCGCAACTTACTGTGTGCATCTTATGTCACTTGTATATAATGTGATGGCCCCGATAAGCATAATAATTCCCACATACGAGCCTCAAAAAGATTCTGACTCAGCGACCAACCCGTTACCAGGTTTCCATACATGTAATCCTTATGGGGGGAGAATTGCCTTAGTTCCTCAAAGCAGCCTGGGAATTCAAACGACTCACTAGCTAACAGCACAGCACGTAACACAGTGCACCAGAAAGTCCTCAAATGGTACAGCACATTTATCACTTATATTTGTCTTGACAGTCATGAAAAATAACTATACGACTGGTTTATGTATGTTCAATAAACCGCTTTCTGAAATAAAGTATATGCTTTGATCCATTAACAGCAACTTCCAGTCTCATGGATGCTTGTTTCTTGAGTGTTGAGCAATATCTCTTTAATTTTTTTTTGGACAATGACCAAGGAGGATAGAAGAAGAATTGATGCCTTTGAGCTGTGGTGCTGGAGAAGAGTATTGAGAATACCATGGACTGCTAGGAAAACAAACAGATTCGTCCTGGAAAGAGTTAAACTGGGCAGCTCCCTGGAGGCAAGGATTCTGAGGTTCCGTCTAACATACTTTGGGCATGTTGTGAGGAGGGACTGGTCCTTGGAGAAGGACATCATGCTTGGGAGGGTGGAGGGACAGCGCAGGAGGGGAAGACCCTCTATGAGATGGATTGATTCAGTGACTGGGGTAATCGGGATGGGTGTACCAGAGACAGTGCGATTGGCACAGGACAGAGCAGAGTTTAGGGCTGTTGTACATAGGGTCACTATGAGTCGCAAGCGACTCGACGGCACGTAACAACAACAGATATTACTGTGACATTCGTCTTGAGTCTCAAGTGCAACAAAACCAGTGTTAGTGATAGTAGCAGCAAGAGGCAAAGGATAAGAGTTTATTTTTAAGTGAAACAAAAGCTTATTAAACAGCATGAAGGTGGAAAATTACAGAGTACAGTTACTCATGACCTCTAATAGCAAACCAGGCTTCTCAAAGTTTAATCAGAGAAAAAGAAGATCAAAGACGAGCCTTCGACATGGATTGCATCTCAATACCGAGAAAACAAAAATTCTTACCACGAGACCTATAGGTAACATCGTCGTAGATGGAGGAAAGAGTGAATCTGTCAACGTCTTCTTCTTACTTGGATCACAGTCAACACCCTGGGCACCAGCAGTCAGGAAGTCAGGAGACACGTGGCTCTGGGAAAGACTGCAGTCAGGGATGTCTCCAAATGATTTAGGAGTATTGATGTCAGTTTGAGGATTAAGGTTCATCTGATAGAGGCCATGGTCTTTCTGATCACTTACTCTGCATCTGAGCGCTGGACAGTGACTAAGTATGACAGAAGAAGAATTGATGCCTTTTAGCTGTAGTATTGGAGAAGAACACTGAACATCCCATGGACTGCCAAAAGACCAAATAGATAGGTCTTGGAGAGGGTGCAGCCAGAGTGTTCCTTGGAGGAGAAGACGATAAAGCTTCACCTCACATACTTCAGACACGTTGTTAGGCAGGACATGGTGCATGGAAAGGCATAGGGTTAATGAAAGAGAGGAAAACCTTCGGCCATGTGGACAGACAGTGACTGCCACAGTGGGCTCTATGTGTCGGGAAGTGTGAGGATGGCACAGGATAGGACAGGCTTCAGACCTGTAGTTCACTGAGTCACTGTGAGTCACACTCAACAGCACCTAATAACAACAGCATTGCTCATGATTTAGCTGTGTCAAACTTGACAATCACAATGACTCTCAACCAGGCTAATGAAAATGCGGAGGACCTTCAATCAGATATGTTGTTGTTGTTATGTGTCGTCGAGTCACGGAGAAATTATTTATCATGCAGGTTGAAGACCAAACAGAAAAAGTAGTCCCTCTCAGCCGGTTAATGAATGCTGCTAAAATATGAATCTTGTTTGAGATGCTTAAGGAAAAAAACAAGACCAGCTTACAATATGGTCTTCATACAGCATCCAAACACATAGTGTCCTGTTTCACAGAACACATCACAGATGTATTACATTGGGCAAATTTCCTGTGAAAGACGTCTTTAAAATATTTTTTAAAAAAAGCAGAGATGTCACTTCGAGAACTAAGGGGCACCTGCCCCAAGCCATGGTGATGTTCAGTCACATAATTAGTATGTGGGAACTAGCAGGGCATAAGGAAGGCTGGAGAGGGGTTGGCCTGGGAATTTGAATCACGGAGTTAACATTGAGTATACTCAGGACTGCCTAAGAATGATCAATCTGTCTGAAAGAAGTAGAACAAGAATGCTTCTTAAAAGTAAGGATCAGAAGGATTGGTGCTGGGACATCCTGCATGGCAGAGTAAAAGGTCAACGAAAAAGAAGAAGGCCCTTTGTGTTGTGTATGGACACACTGGCTGTAACGGGCTCAGGCACACCACTCGGCTGTATGTCGGGTCATCGGAGGCAGACCCAGCTCGATGGCGCCTAATAGCATCATGCACAGTAAGCGACACATGATTATAGAGTGAATGAACAGAAGGTCAGGTGGAAGAGCACACAGGCCCATTGGGTTGCTGGCATCCTTCTTACTCTCTTAATACTGCAGGTAAGTGTTTCAGGCCTTTTGCCTGATGTCCTGTGAGGCCAGGTTGGTTCACATTGCTGGCTGGCTTGAAGTTGGCTGACTTCTCCTGTGTTGGTGTGAAAGGGAGAGTCATAGAGACTCAAACTACTAAGTATCTTGGGGGGAAATTTGGGGTTGGGACCTGGTGAATGAGGGATCCTGTAGGAATATTGTAAGAGTGTATACAGCCTTTACAGCCTCTCCATTTGGGTTGGTTTGCTGTTTGGGGTTTGTTTCAGCGTTTTTATGTGTTCTAATTTGATCATGAAAACATTCTAAACAGATTCTCTTGTGGTTTTGTGTGTGTGTGTGTGTGTAGTTGCTACTGTGTTTAAGGTAGGCATTTGAGGCCTGCTGATGATACAATAATACGTGGTCTTAAATTTTGCTTACAAGTTTAGGCCCATTGCGAGTGACTGACGACTTGTTTGAGCACTATGGTATTTTGCTTTTATATAACCTTGAAGGAAGCTCTTTGAGAGTTCCACAAAGCTGACCGTGTTGGAGATAGACCTTTGGGGTTTTGTGTTACATGAGCAATAGTGCTTTTGTCCAACCTGCCGGACCTTGGGTTGCAATGAATGAGGGGTTGGGTGTCATCTGATCGGTTAGCCCCACTGTTGGTGGTGAAATGCCTTGTTATTTCCCAAGAGCAGCTCTTGAATCTCGACCTAGTAGACACAGGGAATTCAAATCTCCTGGCCTTCCTTTTAATTTTTGTTTTGTCAGTGGACAGACACCAGCAGAATCGGATTTCCAGCTCCTGGAGATTGCCCGTCGTCTGGAGATGTATGGAATCCGGTTGCACCCGGCCAAGGACAGGGAAGGTACTAAGATCAACCTGGCCGTTGCCAACACAGGAATTCTAGTATTTCAGGTAAGAGTGTTCAGAACACAGCTCAGTTCCCCTTACGATGGCAGGATAAGAGGTGGCTCTTTGACTGATTCCGTGTTGGGTGGGCTGATATTTTTAGGTGAAGAAAGAAAAACTAACCTGTCTAAGGCTTTGTTTCCTTGCATGCGCCCAGTTCCTAGATTCTGTTTCATTGGCCTTTGCCCTAATTTTGGATTTGTATGGTCTTATTGATTGTGACCAGTTGACCAGTTCCTTTGAAATCAACTTAGATTTGTGGCAAGCCCATTTATGTCAGAGTAGAAGTGTGTTTTCAGAATTTTTTTTCTGTGATTTTCCAGAAGTAGATCACCAGAGTGAGACTCGCTATACTTGAACCTCCAATCTTTTGGTTACCAGCGGAGCACATTAAGCTTTTGCACAAACCAGGGACTCCTCCTGACTGTAGAATTGTAGAGATGTGTGTCTCTCCATAGAGCTGTACTTAAAGTACAGTGCAATGATCATGGTTTCAGATCCCCAAATAAAGCTGTTTATGTACTTACACAAAACCTTCTGCAGTAATAGGAGTCGCTTTTTAACTTTATTTGACGCAAAACAGCTCATTTATAACTTCATTGGCACATAATTCAAAATAAAATGTGTCACATGACCCTGTAAGATACAACAGCCCTGCAAATTCATAAAAGCTGTATCCTGGCACCAAAGTAATCCTACACCATAACGCACTATACTGGAATTCATTCTTGTCTTGCACTTAAGACATAAAACTTAATGACTCTCTGCATTCTAAAGTGTGTGCTTTCTTAACTACGCTGCTGTGGAACTCTTTTCTTACTCAGTGCAACTCTCTTTCTTAACTTGGAAAGGAGAAGAGACGGCGAAGGAGGGGAAGACCCTCAGAGATTTACTCCGTGACCGCAGTAATGGACTTGAGTGTGTCAGAGATTGTGAGGATGGCACAGGCTAGGACAGGGTCAGATCTGCTATTAAGGGGTCACTATGACTGTATTCAACTCAGTAGCACCTAACAACAATAACAACTCTTTCTTAACAGTTTTATTGACTTATTTCTATACAATAAATTCCATATACATACAGAATGCCATTTGTTAAGTTATGGTATCTATAAATACCAGTGAAGTTATCAATGCAATCAAAATAATAAATATATCCATTACTCAAAAAAATTTTCTTTGGTGCTTTCCTTTTAAACAATTGTGTGTAATCTGTGCTTTAGTTTTTAGAAGATGCAGAGAAAACATCTTTATTTCTCAGGAAATAGGGTTAAATTCTACCAGTTTTATAAGCTATAAATATGTACCTGGCCAAAACCTTTCTTTAGACCTTCGCTCAGGTGTCTCCCATTCCCTCCAGTCATCCTTCTCTCCTGTGTGCCTGTGACCAAGCCAGACCAGAGAGATTGGCGCCTTTTGGCAGCGGTGTAGCTGATGGATTTGAAATGCTAACCTTTTGGATAGTAGCCCAATGCATTATGCTCTGTGCCATCAGACAGTGACTATGGCACAATTCTGTCCCAAGAGGAGTTAAAATTGCATTTCACGTCAGGTAGCTTTGTGAATAGTACATTTGAGAGATGACAGCACTTAACAGTTTTTACCTACATAAGTCATTTGTGAATACCCAAGAAGAAAAACAATGTAAACAAAATACTTTGTCAGTACCTGTCACCCACTCCCACTGCCACTTAAGCAGTTCTGACCTATGACCCTGACGAGGTGGATTGACACAGTGACGACATCAGTGGGCTCAAGTGTGTCAGAGATGATAAGGATGGCACAGGATAGGACAGGGTTCAGGTAGACCTGCTTTTCCTGGGGTCGCTGTGAGTCGTCCTCAACTCAACAGCACTTAACAACAACAGTGGGACAGACTAGAATTGCCTCTTGGGAAATCCAAGACTGTAGAGTTTCCAGAAACAAACTGCCACATCTTTGGAGAGGCTGGTAGATTTGAACTGCCAACCTTCCCATTAGCAGCCCAGTGCACAGCTACTGCACTACCACCGAAGCTTCCCTGTATTTTTTATTACTGGGATTAAATTTCAAAATCAAAACTATTCAATGTGTCTAAACATCGTAAAGAGCGGAAGGGAATCCTTGCCATCAAATTAATTTGCTCTGATTGCATTTGATATGATCTCAATATTGAGAATTGCTCAGTAATTTAATAATGTACAAAAGCTGGATTTGGAAATTAATCTTCTTGCCACCGCATAATTGCTTCATTCTTGCTGTTGAAATAAATGGACCTTAGCCGTACAGTGGGCTGGGGAGGAATTCGGATTTTCATTCAAAAGACCAAACATTGGGAGCTCATAGTAGGCCATGTCTCCACCACGTCCTACCTGGCCGCCAAAGACCATGAAGGGCTGTGGGTCCCACCCAGAATCTGGACTCTGGGCGTGCTCAGCCCTGAAGCCCACACCCTCCTCCTTGCTCCTGCTTCTGCTTTTGGAAGATGTTTCTGATTCAGTAACCAGACCAGGCTGGATGTGTAGGGGATCATGAATAGCCTTCTGCTCTGCTTCCGTGGAGCTTAGCAATGCCCTTCGTGTAAGGGGACTTTTTTCAGGAATTTTTATTTTGCCAGATAAATTCTCTGACAGTGGTTGAGCTCTGGTGGCCTAGTGGCAAGAAGCTGTGCTGCAGTCCCAAAGGACACAGGAGAAAGATGGGCAGTCTCTTCTCATGCGATTTACTGCCTCTGAAAACCTGCCAGAGGGCCAGCTGTGAGTCACTTCCAACTCGATGATACACAATAACAACAACAACAACAAAACTTGTAAAAGGCAGAACTTGTGTTAGGTGGAAGTGTGTCAGAGAAGGAAAGTACTGTTTTTCACTAGTAATGAATGAATGACAGTGAAGTGGAAACACTGTAGCTCTGAAGGAGGAAAATGTGCAGAGACCTGGAAGAACACAGCAGTGCTGACAAGTTCCACTGTCGTGATTTTTACTGTCTGTTAACCTTTCTTTAACATGTTGCTAATGAAACCATCTCCCTGAGTCTCCTGTAGTTGTTGTTATGTGCCATCGAGTCCCTTGCGACTCTTAGCAACCCTATGTACAACAGCCCTGCTCTGTCCTGTGCCAATCTCACCATCGCCAGCACACCCATCCCTATTACCCCAGCCACTGAATCAATCCACCTTATAGAAAGAGGGTCTTCCTCTCCTGCACTGTCCCTCCACCCTCCCAAGCATGATGTCCCTCTCCAAGGACCGGTCCCTCCTTGCAACATGTCTAAAGTATGTCAGACGAAGCCTCAGAATCCTTGCCTCCAAGGAGCAGCCTGGTTTAACCCTCTCCAGGACGAACCTGTTTGTTTTCCTAGCAGTCCGTGGTCTATTCAGTACCCTTCTCAAACACCACAGCTCAAAGTCATCAATTCTCCTTCTGTCCTCCCTAGTCATTGTCCAGCTCTCTGATGCATAACAAGCGATTGTCTCCTGAAAGGCTTTGGTAAAAGAAGGTGTTTAAATCACTTAGTGCATTGACTGGCATTCTGTAGAGTGATGGCTGTGAATTAAGATGAGGGTGTCAGAATTTTTCTTTGTTTTTATTTCATTCTTATTTTCATCCTTACCTTGACCTTTTCTCCCTGAAGGCAGACTTGGCCTGACTGCTGAATCCTTTAGTGAATGAGGAATAATGATCCAGGAATTGGTATCCCCCTGAACACACAGATCCGGGATCTCCAGCCAAAGGCAGACTTCGGAAGCACGGGACCTCACCCCTCTACCTCCAGCTCCCCACACACAAAGCAGAACCCCTCCTCAAGGTCCTCGTGGTGCATTTGACACTTACCATTTGTTTATCATTTTTTTCTTTTTTTAGGGTTTCACTAAGATCAATGCCTTCAACTGGGCGAAGGTGCGGAAGCTAAGCTTCAAGAGGAAGCGTTTTCTCATCAAGCTCCGCCCTGATGCAAATGTAAGTGTTTCTCAGTGGAGGAAAGAAACCTCCCCGCACAGCTGTCCTGCCCTTGCCCCTCTGCACTGTGGGCTGCATGCCATGCTGGCTTGAGTCTGCTCTCTGCAGGGTGAGAGGTCCTAGTTATACTTGTCAAACTGGAGGCTCAGTGTGGTGTGGACAAATACTTTGGGGCATATTACCAGGTGGGGTGAGTCCTTGGAAAAGTCAAGGGTAAACAAAAAATAGATGGGGTTTGAACATGGGAAACAAAATTAGGGCCACTGAACTGTACTTATGAAGATTGTTGAAATGGCAGATGTTTTGTTGTGTATATATTTAACACATACACAAAACTACCAACATAAATATGTATGTGTGAGTATATATGGACGTTTGTATGTATATATTAATGTATGTATGTATACATACGTGTGTGTGTGTGTGTGTGTGTGTGTATATAAGACATGAACAGAGATGCAAATTTCTAAATTTTTGTTGGGTAGCATCGAGCCAAGTGTGACTCATAGTGACCTTATGAACAACAGATCTGAATCCCGTCCCACCCTGTCCCTTCCTGTCCCGTCCTCACCATCTCTGATACACTGGAGCCCATTGCTGGAGTCGCCATTTCAGTCCATCCTGATGGGAGTCTGTCTTCCTCTCTTTGCTAACCCTCCAAATTTCAAAGCATGATGCCTTTTCCCAAGGAATAGTCTCTCCTGACAACATGGCCAAAGTATGAGAGATAAGAGGCACTTTGGCTGCACCTTTTCCAAGATAAATCTTCTCATTCTTTTGGCAGTACATGAGATATTCAATACTCAGTTCTCTAACACTGTAGGTCAAAGACATCAGTTCTTCTTTCATCCTTAGTCATCATCCAACTCACAGTTGCATAATAAGTAATTGGCAAGACTATGGCCTAATCAGATACACCTTAGTCTTCAGATTGACATCATTGCTCCTCAGTAATTTGGAAACGTCCCTTACAGTGGACTTGCCCAGAGCAGCATGTCTGCTTGTCTCCTGACTACTGGTGCCAAGGCTGTTGATTGTGGTTCCAAGCAAGATAAAATCATTAACCGCTTCAATCAAGAATTACTAATTTTTAAAAAACTAACTCTGAATGTCTTTATGTAGAGGTGTATTCAGACTCTCGTAACTCCACAGCTGTCATTCTTTGCCTGGCACAGAAGTCTTTTAGAGAGACGGTCATTTTCTGGACAATTCAGGCAGTCCCTGTCCACAGACAAGCTATTGGTTACTGACTCTGAGACACCATCAGTATTTCTACACTTTTCAGCCACACTCTGCTGATAATAGGAACTGTTCCTGGCACTCACGTCCCTGCTGTTGTCCCAGAACCTCTTCCTGAGCTCATTCTTGCAAGCTGACCGGGCCCTTATCTCACCAGCTGACCGGGTCCCTCACCTCACAATCTGACCAGGTCCTCACCTCACAAGCTCACCGGCTCCTTATCTCACAAGCTGACGAGGTCCTCTTCTCACAAGGTGACCAGGTCCCTCATCTCACAAGCTCCCCGGGTCCTTATCTCACAAGCTGACCAGATGCCTCTCAGTTTTTCCCCATGTCCATCCCACTTGCCTCCCATGTCCCTGTCCCTGTTTGGTGCCACTGAGTCGATGTGCACTCTGGTGACCCCATGTGACGGAGTCCAACTGCCCTATAGAGTTTCCAAAGCCTTGGTGGTGCAGTGTGTTGTGTGTTGAAATATGAGAAGGCCAGCAAATCTACCAGCCTACCCAAGGGACAGAGATGGACACTCTCCTGTCACAAAGAAACAGCTCAGAAACCAAATGGAGGATCACCGTGGATCAGAAACGATATGGTGGGATTAACCTTCACAGAAGGAGATGGCCAGCTCTGTCTCCTGGGAACCCACCGACCGGGAGGTTTGAACCATCACCCTTTTGGTTAGCAGCTGTAAACATAACCACCGTGCCCTTTTACTTCCCATGAAAGCGCTAATGAGTTTACACGGTAACAGGGTCAAGGAAGGAAAGGACTTCTCCATCTGCCGGAAGTGTCTGCCAAAGAGAGAGATGGATGATACATTCCTGGTGTCTGCAGCCAGACGTAGAGTGCTTTTTCCCATGGAAAAAAGATTATCAACAGCAATGTAGGCTTATAGCCCATTTATAATATGGATTAAATAGGCTCTTATGACCTGACCCGGGAAACAGACACCCTTTATAAGTTCCTCTCTGTGGGAAAATGAGTTTTTGTGTTCTGAAAAGCTGACTTACGAATGAAGAATGGCAGCCGACTTGAGAGTTGAGCCTGCCCAGTGCTGCGAAAGCCCCTGGAATAGTAACTGCTGGGAATGTTCAGGACGGCGGTTCCTTGTGTTTATATAATACGGCCTCTTAAACCAGGAGCATTTGGTCGTGGGAGTTGAAAATTACTGTGTTCCCCTTCTCCAATCAAAAGACATTTTTTTTTCTCTCTTGGAGTGATAGTTTTATGCTCTAGAAAGAAAAATTCATTTCCCGTGTGGCTCCCAGGCCACCTGGAGGCCTGGACCTATGCTGTTTTATAGAGAAAAGACCTAAGATTCAAAGTGGACATGAACCAGGAGGAAGAAAAGAGAGAAGAAAATTATCCTTTAGTCTCTCTGAGAAGACAAAAAGGGAATTTCGGTACTTGGAGTTTGAGTTGGTTTTTTGTGATAGTTTATAAGAAGGAAGGAAATGTCAGCCAAGTCAACATCATTTGTTTATTAATTCTATCAAAAGAAATGTTGTCGTTTCCCCTGAATCTGTACTACAGTTTTCAGTAAGTTCCTCTAGGGACTGCTGAGGGGAGGAAGTGGTTGAATGAATGGTGACAGTATGACCCTGTCTTGTCATTAGGGACAATTCTATTTTATTGGCTGTTTTCATGTTACCTGTGCTGTGACACCTGTGAGAAATGTCTTAGGGAAATCTCTTCGCGCTCCCTTCTTTCTCATCTTTCACCTGTGAGTCAGATGGGTAGCAGGAGAACACAGCCTGGAATTCTCTCTTTTCAGAGCTCTTACCAGGATACCTTGGAATTCCTGATGGCCAGTCGTGACTTCTGCAAGTCCTTCTGGAAAATCTGCGTGGAGCACCATGCCTTTTTTAGACTCTTCGAAGAGCCCAAGCCCAAGCCAAAGCCTGTTCTCTTTAGCCGCGGGTCATCCTTCCGGTTCAGGTAAGGTCGCTGCTCCCAAGGCTGTTTGCCACGCTGGGAGTTTCTCCCTGGGAATTGCTTTTCCTGGTGGTTGTCACAGCAGCATGAGGTCCAGCAAGTAAGGGAGGTGACCACTGACACACTGGCCTCCAGGAACTCTGGATGATGGAGTGTTTGCATGGCAACCCCAGCTGGCTCTCTGTACCCCCCGATGCCCTGTTCTTTTGGGGGCACCTGCCCACCAGTAGGCATTGAATTGAGAAGCTCCTAACAGAACTCGCCAGTTGAGAAAGGAGCCCCCATCTCTGGAGGAGCAAAGTTGGCTAATAAATATCTGTGTCATTTTGTAGGGTGAAATGTAAACTTGTTCATTGATGGATTCGGACATTCTTTCTTACCAAGAAGTGTTTGGGTGTTTCCTGGATGCAAATAACATTTCGTCATCTAGGGGATCCAATAGTGAACAAAATTCTCTCCACCGTCAAGTAACTTACAGGCCCTTGAGATAGTTGCTTTATAACCTACACATATAATAATTACACGGGTTGTGTTTTTCTTTTGAACATTTTCGTATACAAAGGAAATAAATTAACAAGAAAGTGAATGGATAAAAAAACATAAATTCTCCGCTTCTCTGGTACTTCTGTTCAAGGGAGGTCTGTCCCTTTTGGGGATGTAATTGTCTAATAAATCTATCTTAACTATTTTAGACTTAAAGTAAAAAAAATCACTGTTTCTCTTAGAATTGCTTTCTGTGGCTTGCTGAGAAACCCACAGATCTTCCAGCATGGAATGAGGGGAGCGTAGAGTGGCAGGTGCACTTGCCTTTGTGCATTATCTGTGTTTTCTCTTCTTTCCCTCCCTGGTCTTCATTTCAGTGGTCGGACTCAGAAGCAGGTTCTCGACTATGTGAAAGAAGGAGGACATAAGAAAGTGCAGTTTGAAAGGTAAGATGACATTTCTGACCCGCCAGGGGTCTTGCTTCAGGTCTTGCTGACTGCTGCTTGGAAGCCCTCAGCTCAGGCTCAGGGTCTGAGGAGCCGCCGCATTCCTGCTTCCTGGTCAACCTTGGTGAGTAGGAGACGAATGTTGGAGGGCCCTGTCTGGCTCAGGTATACGATGGGCCAAGAAGACCAACTAGAGGACCAGGTGAGGAAGGAAGAGAGCAAATAGAAAGCAGAGATGGAAGAAGAACCAAGAAATTTTTGTGGAAGTTAATATTGTAAGGAGCCATTGAGTCAATTGATGTCTTGTAGCAAACCCGTGTAACAGTTAACATGTTGCCACAAATGACGGCAAATGTATTTCTAAGCACGGTTGTCAATTTTAAAAGTCTGCGGCAACATTTTAAACTACCCAAAGGTTTTTCAGGCTATAGTCTTCTTAGGACCAGACTGTCAGATCTCATCTGTGAATCCACTGGGTGGATTAGAACTTCAGTTTAGCACTGAGCCCTTAACCATAGGCCACCGTGGAGTCACATTGTGGAGAATTAGACACAATGAAAACTTGCTCCCTAGAAAGATATTAAATATTTTGGTGAACTCGGTGGCCTAGTAGCAAGAAGCTGCACTGCAGTCCCTGAGGTGAGCAGTTTGAATCCACTAGATGCTCTGCTGGAGGAGGGACAATCTCCTCCTGTACCAGTTAGATCTGATTTGATGGTAAACACAAAAAATAAGAAAAACAAAATTTTAAAATACATATTAAATAGTTTGATAACTTAGGTGAAATGTATTTTTTAAACTTCTTAATCAAATAAAGTTTAACTGAAAAGCAAGATTTTCCCCCCAGTGTGTGGCTATTACATTACTAGCAGCGCCAATAAATACGTATCGATAACTCCTCCTGAATATAAGCACTGTTCCAAATGCTTAATATATGTTGACTCACTAAGCCCCATGCCAGCAATACGAGGGCAGTACCATTTTATTCCCTCCCTAAAGATGGAAGCAGTAGCACTCAGAGAGGTTAAGTAATTAGGTAGGGCCTCACAGGGGAGAGGCAGAACTGGTCTTGGCCCCAGTCAGCGGGCTGCAGGGCCGGTGCCTTTACCTTTCTGGGTCCCCTGCTCAGGAAAGAAGCAGGAATCCATAAGTTGGAAAGGCGTGGGCTCTCAGGCACGGTTTACTGTTTGCATTTTAAAACTTTTTTAAAGTTACTTGGTTCAATTGAAACAATGCAGTAGAGTATGAGAATAATACAGTGAATTCCCAGATTCTACTAGTGTTAAGTACTCTTCTGGTGGCCTAGTGGTAAGAAGCTGTGCTGCAATCTCAAAGGCACACAGTTCAAATCCACTAGCTGCTCCATGAGAGAAAAAAAATAGGCAGTCTCCTGTGCCATTTACAGCCTCTGAAAACCTGGAGAGGGTCAACTTGGAGTTGGCTTCAACTTGACAGCAATGATAAGGATAGGGAGACATGAATGGATCCCTTATTGTTGGATCTTAGCTCACAGCCTCTGTCCTCATTGCTGAACTGCTGATGCTCTTTTAACCAGCTGTAACCATAACTGGAATAGGGGTTGTAGCAGACGTCTTCCAGGTTGAAGTCACCCGTGAACCTCATAGCGTGAGAAGTAGATGCGAGCATATTTATTTTCCAGTTGTTGGGCACCCCTGAATCACCTCTGACTTGCGCACAGCAGACAGGAACTCTGCTGACCCCTGTTCACAGTCACTGCCCTGCTCGAGCCCGTTGCTGCAGCCACTGTCGGTCCAAGTCATTGAGGTTTCCAGGAAGTGCTGTGAAGTTTGCCTTGAATGCCTTCATTATCAAGGACGGGCCCGAGGGGCCTGGCCTTTTTACATTTGCTGTAACAAAACAGCCACTCACACTAGCTTTCTTGTGTGGTTTCTCCCAGGAAGCACAGCAAGATCCATTCCATCAGGAGCCTTGCCTCGCAGCCTACGGAAGCGAACTCAGAAGTGCCAAAACAGGTAGTGGTGCCGTACGGGTAGGACCAATCCTCGCGGGGCTTCCTCTCCTGAGCGCTGCGTGGCCGTGGCGTGCTTTCAGGTTCTCTGCACCTCGCTATCAGTAAGGCTTTCAGACGAGGGTCCAGTTGCGTGGCCAGGCTTTGACCTGACCTAGATTTTTATGCTCTGTGCTCCCCAGCCTGAACTCAGCACGCCCTGGCATATGTCCAGTCATGCAGCTGACCTCCAGGCGCAGTTCCTTTTAGGGTGATCTAAGCTGCGGAGAAGTTTACTCCCTGGGTCTGAATTGGGTTGTAGAAGGATGAGGGGCATCAGCAGGAGCCAGCAGAGTGGATCCCACCATCCAGCTCATTGAATCCGATTTGCAACATAAGTGTACAGCTCCAGGCTGGTGCCCAGATCAGAATCCTTAGTTGGCACAGATCTGGGCACTGCGTTTCCAGGGTTTGAGTTACAGGCAATGACTGCAGTTGACAACAGGAGCCTTTATCATGCCTGCTGTGAGGGTGATGAGAGTTCATTTTCCCCAGGATTGATTTCTAGGTGAATTTTCAGGGTTTTTGCTACAAAAGAATTGAGAACTTTGCTGGGGATGGTCATGGTGGAGATTTCATTGTGTGAATTTTTTTTTTTAAAGTCCTGAACCTGTACCTTCTATCCTTAAAAGTATAAGTTAACAAGCGTGGTGTTTCTCTTCTCAAATTTGTGTAAGCTTGTTCTGAGAATCTGCCCTTCCTCCCCTCTCCGACCACACCTACTTTCCAAGCCCTATTTGGACTAGAAGGGCTCTCGTTCCACGTTGTTGTTGTTGTTGTTGTTGTTGTTGTTGTTGTTGAGTGCCTTCAAGTTGACCATGACTCAAAGTGACCCTATTGAAAACAGATCTGAACTTTGAAATTCTTGTTCCATAGAAGCTTTTAAAGCTCAAAATGTAATTGAGTGTTTGAAGAAAGCAGAAGCGTGCCTCGCTCTTGCTGCCACCGCCCTGGCATTGTCACCTTGCACGCTGGGAAAGAACTCCTTGAATGGTGAACAAACCTTATCCCAGTGTGGGAGTGATGCTGTGGGGACAGTATATACATAGCAGTTCTCTCAGCCACTGTAAACTTACTGTTGTTGTTATTGTTGCTGTTTGTTGTGTGCCATCGAGTCAGAACTAACTCATATCTGACTCTTCGGTGGGTTTTCAGAAGCAGTTAATCACACAGGAAATGATTATCCATCTTTTTCCTGCGAAGCAGCTGGAGGATTCGAACTATGAACCTTTGGGTTGCCAGTGTAACTCCTTACCACTGGGCCACCAGCGGAGCTCCCAGCTGTGAACTTAAGGAGCTGTTACCACATTAGACTCCAACTTCTCTCTTTTTCTCTCTAACAGTTCTGGTATAACCATCTCTCTTCATCCCTTTCTCTTCCCCACCCAACCCAGTCTCCACAGAGCACCAACCTTAGGTACAGAGAAGGCGCTGAACCGCCAGGCGGCCAGGCCAACCAGCAAGGAAAGGAACAGAAAGTGTCCACCGAGGAGCCTGGGCCGCAGCCAAGCCCTTCTCAGAGGAAGAGCCCCCTGGGTACCAAGAAGGCCGATGGAGGCGCCGTGGTGACGATGGAGGAAGAGGAGGTCGTTAAGGATAGGACCCAGCAGAGTAAACCGCAGCCCCCGCAGCCAAGCACAGGTCCAGCATCCAGGGCTGCTCGGGGCAGCAGCACTTCCATTCCTTTCATTGACTGCAGTGATGTAGATAGTGAATACGATCTGCTCAGAGAGCACGCGTCCCAGTCACGGTCCCAAACAAATGACAACTATGAGGGTGACTTGACCAGTGGTGTTTATCTGCTCTCCGGGGACGAGCGGCCGAGAGAGGCTAGGCATAGGGCTTCCCGCCACTCTGTGCAGTCCTCCCGGCCTCCCTCCAGAGAATTCGTTGATGACGATTCAGCAGACATAACCTTTGATATCAGTGGGAGCCCCCGACTCCCAAGGCACAGCTCTCTGATAGATGAAATGTTCAGAAGCCCAAGTGGTCACAGCCCCCTGGCCACCCCGTTGTCTCCCAGCAGCAGAAGTTCGAGCCAAAATATGAGTTGGGACAGGACTGGGTCTCAAGGGTACGTCTCTGAAAATGGACACGATTGTAGAGAGAGAAGTATGGGAGATGAGACGTTCCCAAACCAGGGTCCTCCTTATGAAAACTGCTCCCCGACCTGGCAAAGGCCTTACCTGCGCAACCTTCCCAGCAGATACAATAAGTCAGAGACAAATCCACTCATCCTTAGCCAGGTGGCGTCCACCCCCGAGGAAATAGAAATACTGGATGGCCGTGAAAGGAGAGCGCAGGCCAGAGAGGCTGATGCTGGCGGGAGACTCATGGCTAATGGCTCTCCTCGGATAGGATCTGCCACCAAGGTCCCCATGGTGCAGCCAGCAGGTGCCAGCAGCAAGGAGGACCCACTGGCTCCCCTGCAGGTGACCGAGGGCTCCAGCAGCAGTGGGACCGAATCCAGTGATTCAGACCCCGAGCTGGTGAACCCGAGACAGCCCCTGGTGTTCGGCAACCCAGCGGTCCTGAGCTCCCCTGTCCTGCCTCGGAGTAAGAAGGGCTCAGGGAGCTTGCGTCTGAGCGAGGAGAGGGAGGAAGATGAATGAAGGTCATGTGGGGGCAGGAGTCTAGGCTTTCCGTAGAGGCTCATTCATTTCTAATCAAATAACTCGTAGAGGACATTGTGAACAGGGGATGCTTACCTTCTGAAATCTTCAAGAAAAGCAAAATGTCCCACAGGGGCTTGCTTTTGGAGAAGATAATGGATAACATAAACAGGTTAACAGGAGTTGGCATCTCTTACTGGTTGAAGGCTAGGAAGGCAAATATATTACAAATCTGATAATGTGTACAGTATGTTGTTTATGTGGAAATTGACTGTGTGTGTGCAATTGTGTAGGCGGATCACCCTCCTCTTGTTTAAGTGTTTAGACCAAGTGTGGCTGAGATTACAGGAAAGGGGTTTATTTTATACCCCATCCCCCAGCATCTTTACAAGAGGGGTGCTGCTTCCCTGAACCTCAGAGAGTGAGGAACTAACATGATTTAAGGCCAAAATGTAGGTTTATTGCAAGTTGTGACCAAGTGCTGGTGAAACCTTCGTCAAGAGTCATAGACTTTTTTACAGAGCAGTGTATGTGGTTATTTCTTCTCGCTGGACTCCGTGTGAAAGGCTGGAAAGGTGGTCAGGACTCCCCAAACTGAAGTTTAGACTTGAATTGCTGGTTTGGTTTTGCATTGGTGAATCAGATTGTTGGGTTTTAAAAAGCCCCTAGTGGAGATTCTCTTGGTGAAACACAGTCGCTGCTGAGTGGCAGGGCAGTCACACCGGGCAGCAGGCTCTGCCCCCAGGAGGGTAGAGAACCAAGTGCCTGTCTTTGAATCATGCATAGCGTAAAGAAGGCTTGACTTCCAGTGTCTTTACGCCGGGATGGTTTAGATGCACGTGTTTACTGATCAGACTCTTGGGAACAGTGACTTTGGATGTTTCTCGGAGTTGGGAAGAAGCCAGCCTTAAGCAGTAGCAGGTTTGACTTCTTTCTGACTCGTGCCCACCCGGGCCAGTGCCTTTCACTCAGCATTCCTGCATTTTAGATGAAGAAGCCTGGTTTTTACTCACAGTGTTTCTCAGCCTTGGCTACATCCTGCAATCACCTGGGCCGTTATTGGTGTGGGTTTTGTGGGTTTTTTTTTTTTTACAAACAATACTGCCAGAAATTTTGATGGAATTAGCCTATGATGCTGCTTGGGTTTCTACATGATCCTCCTGGACAGTGTCACTCCTCAGTCAGACCTCCCTGCCTTCTGACACCTAGTGAGCTCTGTCCAAAGTGTTAGCTCAGTGTGGTTTGCTGGCAGAGTATGAAGAGCAAGGAAGTGCATTCCCTGTTACTTGTGGTTTGGTACTTTGCCATTTTTGGTACTTTACTTTTTGAGATAAATTGTATATTCAGTTTTCAGTAGATTCTAAGGAATTACAAGATTATTGGCAAGAATTGTAACTCTGGTCCTTCCCTGCCATGCCACCATGCCAGTGGCTTCAGCAGACCAGTTGTGTGACTTTGTCACAGAGACGGAGTCAGGCACGATGGGGGGTAGAATTTGGCAGCAGTACATAAAAAACAGAACTGTTGACTGGCTTTGTGGCTCACCAGTGATGATCTGTTCATGTGAATATTGCTAAGTCTGTCTGAAAGATTCTGAAGACTTAATCCATGTTCATATAGACCTTTTAACTTTTATTTCCCTAATCATTTGATTCAGTGCATGATTAATGAATCAAACTGATTATTGAATAGTCGGTTAAGATGTTCCTTGAAGTAGTCTATTTGTATCTTGCTTAAGACACACATAGTTAACACAATCATAGGATTTTAAGATGATAGGGACCCTTGGAGGTCTCTTAGGGGAAATCTTCGTTTTGGGGATGAGGTGATGTGCTTTGGGAAGGCTTAGTGATGTCCCTACTTACACAGGGACCACGCAGACGAAGCTGGGACTAGACCCTTCGACTCCAGCTCTTTTCACTGTGCGGTGGCTTGGAGCAATAGAACCTTTTTGATTCAATATTCTCATTTTGAAAAATCTCATTGATTAATAATAATTAGTTTATTGGAGCCCACGGATCATGTAGATTTTACTTAATCACAAATATTTAATAGATGGTATGAAGCAACTGTTTTTTTGTATTGTGGGGTTTTGCAGTTACAGCATCTTTTTACATATTTCTCTTTGGGACTTACTTACATGTGGCTTTGCTGTATAAAAATTCAGTCAGCTGTGAGGTCAGGAGAGTCACCTGTGGGATCCTGTGGTTTGTTCGTGTAGGTGGTTTGTTCCATTGACTTCCTTTTTCACCTCTTAATCATCCAGCGTCTGATAATGAAATATGAGCGAACAATAGGTATTTACTTGTTATAGGGCAAATCATTCAGTGTAAACCTTTAAAACAAAAACATGCGACAGTAATTCTTTTGTTCTGGTTTTTCTTAAAGAACTGGCTTTCTTTTTAATCTGAAGGGTTTTAAGAGGAGCTGATTAATAGAGGCATATTTATTTCTTGTATATTGACAAGATTATCTGATTTTTTTGGATTCATACAGTGAGTCCCAGCAATGGGCTTGAGCGTGGCAGAGATTGTGAGAATGGTGCAGGATAGACCGGGGTTCCAAGCGGTTGCTATGAGTCATAAAGGACTTGATGACACCTAACAGCAACGTGGGGGTACCCTTTCTGGCTCTGGGTCAGTCAGAGGGCACAAGCTGTGCTGGCCTCCTGACCATTAGTTTTGAATGCAGCAATCCCGGTGTAATCAGTGGTGCTTAAAGTAGAGGAAGGATCGTGTGTTTGGAGGTTCCTGGGTGGTGTAAAGCTAACATGTTCAGCTGCTAATTGAAAGGTTGCCGTTTCTGGTCTTCCCGGGGCACCTGGAAAGAAAGACTTGGGTATCTAATTTCAGAAAAGCAGTCACTGGGGTCCAGTTCCACCCTGAAACATGGGGCTGACAGGAGTCAAAATGGACTCAAGAACCACTGGTAACCAGTATGTGTTGTTGAAAAGCAACATAGCTTGATGTGCAAAGATGATTTGCTGACTGCCTTCAGAGAAGCTTGCCATGCACTAATAACAGAGGTCAGAGAATAAACTCAAGCGTTACTTTGAGCCTGGTAGAGGGAGTTCATCGAGTGTCATCCACTTGAGATCCCAGGAGAGGCCACAGGTTTTACCATTCCGACTCATTCCTTCCCCCTGCCCCTCTGACCTCCACAGGACTCATTCTGTCCTCCCCCACCCCTGACTTCTGCAGGACTCATTCCTTCCCCCTGCCCCTCTGACCTCTGCAGGACTCATTCCTTCCCTCTGCCCCTCTGACTTCTGCAGGACTCATTCTTCCCTCCCTGCCCCACCCCAAGCCTTCACCAGGCCTTGGAATGTTCACTCTGCTGCTATCAGAGGCCTGCACACATGTTAAATTGAACTAAGATTAAGATTGGGGGGGGGGCAAATAACAGTTGAGGTGGAAGATTAATGGGTAGCAGAGCTTAAGAGACCTGTGAATTTGTTTAGCTATCCACAGGAGCCTCTCAAGACCTGCCAACCAGTTTTTCTGAAATAAAAGCCAGTGCCAGGCCTCCTGAATCAATGAGGAAGGAAGGCCCCTTCACATCAAGGGCTTTCTGTGACTGGTCACCACCAAAAACTGTCTCTAAAACAAATAGAAGCCTTCAGGGCTACTAACAGGCCCCCTGGCATCAATATCTCTTCCTTTTGTGGGGTTTTATCTCAAAATATGGAAGCTCTGGGCACTCCTGTTGTCTCTGCTGCTGCTTTTTAAGGACAAAACAGAAACGCGAGAAATTCTTTCAGCCTGAAGAAATGTGCTTAATGAGTTCCAGAACCACAAACGAATTGCTTTAGCTCCTTTGACGGCCATCTGTATGCCATTGACAATATTTTTATTAGACAGGCGTTTAATTAAAGGAAGTCTGTGGGCCACATTCTCCCCTACATATGCGATTCGTCGAGGGGGGATTTCTCACCATTTTATCTCATCACGTTGTGATGTGCGGCTGGCCGGCTCTTCAAATGTGAATGACGCCAGTTTGATTCTCCAGAACGATTCAAAGCAAGTTAAC